AGCAATATCCCAGCAATATCACGCCCGGGGACAACAGAATAGGTTCTTCTGGATTGAGGCAAGATCATCGTTTCCCCATCACCTAACCCACGTTAATGAGACATGAGGTTCGAAGGCGCTGATTTTAAAACAAATAGCTATTGTAATAAGATTTAAATGATTGTGATCAAATAACACGATGTCGAGTCTATCTTACTCAATAAATCGATCGGTGTTAATGGTGAAGTTGTGCGTGTGCATTTAAAACAAAATCACCAAGTATATAAGATTGGCTATTTGATAGGTGTATTTCTATTTTTTAGTGTACACCTATATAATGTAAAGACAGGTGTCGTTTCAAGTACCAGTCACATGCGTCGATCGATCAGTGTTGGTCATCAGTGCATATGCATGGGTCGTGCGCACCTGTTTTGTCACGTGATCAGCCTGTGTCGCCTGTAGCACTTAAACTGAATGTGTTGCATGGGAATATTTACCAGAAATATCATTTCTAATAGATATGTTAATCACAGTGGTGTCGTTACATATTTTCATTTCCAATTTCAAACCGAGATGCTTGCCTATATGTCTTAATAACAACCAGAATAAGGTGGCCAGTTGATAAACACGTGTAAGTACGTTTCCCTGTCAAGCACGATTTCATATATTGATATACAATTGCTTTATTTTTCATTTGTAATTCATGGTCAATAACATTGTTTATAAATACTTAAATATGGACTACAGACTACTTAATATAGTATGAGTATCATGCCAACATTCTACACAATATATCGACTAAAGCAGTATGGTACACTCTGTACGTCTACACTGTTCACCATTACCGTATTAAACACTGCAGTCTACTGTAAAGAATTTACAATGGGTCACAGGGTGGGGTGGGTGTCTGGAGGGGGGTTACAGGGTGTGGTGGGTGTCTGGAGGGTGGGGGTTGGATCACATGGTGGATGTCTGGAGGGTGGGTCACAGGTAGGGGGGTGTCTGGGGGGTGGGTCACAGGGTGGCGTGGGTGTCTGGAGGTGAGGTCGCAGGGTGGGGTGTGGGTGTCTGGAGGGTGGGCCACAGGGTTAGGTGGGTGGCTGGAGGGTGGGTCACAGGGTGGGGTGTGGGTCACAGGGTGGGTGTATGGAGGGTGGGCCACAGGGTGGGGTGGGTGTCTGGAGGGTGGATCCCAGGGTGGGTGTCTGGAGGGTGGGGGTTGGATCACATGGTGGGTGTCTGGAGGGTGGGTCACAGGTAGGGGGTTTCTGGGGGTGGGTCACAGGGTAGCGTGGGTGTCTGGAGGTGAGTCACAGGGTGGGGTTGGTGTCTGGAGGTTGGGTCACAGGGTAGGGTAGGGTGTCTGGAGGGTGGGTCACAGGGTGGGGTGGGTGTCTGGAGGTTGGGTCACAGGGTGGGATGGGTGTCTGGAGGTTGGGTCACAGGGTAGGGTAGGGTGTCTGGAGGGTGGGTCACAGGGTGGGGTGGGTGTCTGGAGGTTGGGTCACAGGGTAGGGTAGGGTGTCTGGAGGGTGGGTCACAGGGTGGGGTGGGTGTCTGGAGGTTGGGTCACAGGGTGGGGTGGGCTACTTTCAAGACAGTTAATCCTTGAATAAACGCATGTCAAACTCCCTTTAAACTCGAGAAAAGACAAAAGAGAAAAAATATAACAAAACTGCACTTTTGATGCAAACAAAAAGACTGAACGCTTGTCTCAAATAAATGCTTGACGGGTGTGTAAACACTACGTTCCTCCATCACCTGCTTTGCCGTGTTGGCTGTAGTTTTAACTACGAATCAAGTCACGTCCTGTTTCCAGCAGAGGGACACCATCGACTGCCAACGGCAATGTTTCTGGCTTGACAACGTGTGTGCCATGTGCCATGCACAGCCTTGCAGTACATCCTCCACACATCGCTTCCATGTCAAGCAATGGTCGGGTTCGCAAAACAAAATCATTCATGAAGACTTTATACACGTCCTCGTTTATTTAGCCGACTGAAAACAGACACACGTCACCAGGGGTGGTGTTGTAGCCTTGTGGTTAAAGCGTTTGCTTGTCACGCCGAAAGCCCGGGTTCGATTCCCCACATGACCTTCCGACATGAATTATCACTGGTATTTACGATATAAGCGGATCCAGGAGTCCAGGATTTTGATAATTTGGACCCCTTCCTTTGGAAAAGATGGATCCGCCCTTGTAAGCCTTGTAACAAAGGCAACATGCTGAGCAGAAATTGATTATTTTTGATGCTGTATACCATCATATAATTGATGAAATATTCCCGATGTTGCAGAAAGAATTATCCGACACCTGTGTCTGTTCATGGTGTTACAATATTCAGTTGACTGGAGCGTAAAGATGTTGTTTATAGTACATCTATATTTGTTTTGACAACATGCCAATTGCTGTAGTCAATATAAATACGGAATTACCAATTACCAGGTCTTAATAAAAAATGTTTTAAACAAAATTGTGTCACATATTCGAAAGATTACAAATACATTGCACGATGGGGTAGCCTAGTGGTTCGTTCGTTACACTTCCCGGTTCGATTCCCCACATCCCTTTTGCGGTGCTAAGCCGTGCATTGCTTTAATAGTGGTACCATTGGCGTAAAGCTTTGTTTGTTTGTTGTTTAGCGCCGCACTCAGCAATATTGTGTGCGTGCGTGCGTGCGTGCGTGCGTGCGTGCGTGCGTGCGTATGTATGTATGTATGTATGTATGTATGTATGTATGTATGTATGTATGTATGTATGCATGCATGTATGTATGTATGTGTGTATGCATGCATGCACGCATTATGTGATTGTGTTAGTGAATATGTGAATATGTAGATATTAAGAATGTGCATGATTACTTTTTTATATCTAATTGTATTTTAATATTTGTAATATCTTAAGGTGTCATTTCGGCCCTCTGAGGCCTGGTGTTTGTATTTTAAGTATGTGCTAAATGTTGTATTACTTTGTAACACATGACACTGTAATAAACTATATTATTATTATTATTATTATCATTATTAATATTCAACATGGAAGAACTGTTTTCTTAACACACGGCCTGCAAGCCTCACAAAGCTTGACCATCTGATTCCCATGTCAATTCTGATGATATTGTACCTGTTTGTTGTTTAACGCCGCGCTCAGCAATATTCCAGCTATAAGACGGAGGTCTGTAAATAATCGAGTCCGAACCAGACAGTGATTGATATCATGAGCACCGATCCACTCAATTGGGATACGATGACATGCATCAACCACGTCAGCGAGCCTGACCACCCGATCCTGTTAGTCGCCTCTTACGACACGCATCGGTTTGCTGAAGATCTTCACAGGTCAACCGGCGTAGAGCAATACTCACATTCGGTGTGATAGGAAGAGTCAAACTGCAGCATTAGGATTAATACTGTTAAAGTTGTTATGAGAATACTGAAAAAAAAAATTATTTTCCCATATTTGTAGATGAGGAGTAATGCCAGTAAGTACGTGTTTTAATATATGGTCTGCGTTCTTTATATTCAGGGGCGGTCGGGTAGCCTAGTGGTTAAAGCGTTCGCTCGTCACGCCGAAGACCCGGGTTCGATTCCTGACATGGGTATAATGTGTGAAGCCCATTTCTGGTGTCCCCCGCCGAGATATTGCTGGAATATTGCTAAAAGCGGCGTAAAACCATAATCACTCACTCACTCTTTACATTCACATATATTCACAAGTCGAATTGCTAACTTTAACCCCCCCCCAAAAAAAATAAAAAATATATATATATATATATATATATATAAAATAAATAAAGAAATAAAAAAGAAATAAAGAAATAAAAAAAAAATTAAATAAAGACTATGCATATTATCAGTGCCGTAGCCAGCAATCAAGTTGGGGACAAGTGATACTTGTACAAAAATATATATATATATATATATATATATATATATATATAAAATAAATAAAGAAATAAAAAAAAAGAAAGAAAGAAAAAAAAAATTAAATAAAGACTATGCATATTATCAGTGCCGTAGCCAGCAATCAAGTTGGGGACAAGTGATACTTGTACAAAAAAAATAATATACATATATATATATATAAAATAAATAAAGAAATTAAAAAAAAAAAAGAAATAAAAAAAAAATTAAATAAAGACTATGCATATTATCAGTGCCGTAGCCAGCAATCAAGTTGGGGACAAGTGATACTTGTACAAATACACACACACACACACACCTCCCCTGTCAAAAAAAGTTAACTACGGCCTTGATCATAATGCAATCTGATAAAGAAAAAAAATGTTATTGACTCTACTACTCTGAACGTGCTAATTGTATATGTACTATAGGCCTGTACGTGGCCTCCTCAGTACGGGCAAATATCGAAGTATTAATTCAATAATGATAGTAATAATGTTGTACATGCTAAATGTTCAGTAGAGTAACCCTACACATGTAAATGACATTCCTTCACGCATGTTTGACATTCCCAATATTCCAGTATAGGGGCACTTCAGATAAATTTATTTTGAATTTTAAAAATGTGAACAATCCGGAAACAGATATGAAGTGCGATTTATCGGAGTGTTGAAGTTGGGTGAAAGTTTACTATGAGTAATGTCACTGGTTAAATGCATGCGCCCCCACACAACATACCTATTTTCAGATTTGTGAATAGAGTATTAATCTGTTTATGGATGCAGGGTTGCCGAAATATACCCCCACTTTATTCAGAGAAGAATGACTTATTGAAAGTCGCACGGAACCTTCCCAATGCTGTGTAAATACAATGCCATACTGCAGTTACATCCCTTTAGATATGCCAATAACAGCAGGGTTAAAGTGTTGCGTCTGCGACAATGAGCTGTTTTAATTCACGTGATGAGTTAACGCCTTCACTGCGATATTTATGAGATTGTTATCATGTGTCAGTGTCTTTTTATGTTGAAAAGAGAGACAGTAATTTGAATCTAACCGTTCGGAAAGTTGGAATACTGACGTTGATTATTCATGCTGCGCGGGAGACTGCGCATGTGAGTCACCAGTAGAAATGTAAATTAGGTGTGTCCTGTGATATAGACGGCGTTCAACAGAAGATGAACATTTGAAGTGACGGAGTGAGGAAAGCGTGTTGTCGGACTCAGTCAGTGGGTAGAACTATAATACAAGTGAACGGAACTATACTTCCAGTGAACAGAGTTAACGACAGTCGGAATTCTAGTGATATATCTGTGGATTGTTATTTCACCTGGGACACCGCCAGTAGCAGACGACATTTTTCACCTGAGATACCTGAGCCCATATTGAGATGGCCATCCGCAAAATACCGTGAGTCACTTTCTTTTATTCTGTTCAATAGAATATGTGCTCACACCAGCGTGAAATACCTCAGGCCGACTTCAGAGACTTATGTGCTGAAATTGTAGAGAGGGTTAACCCCTATCATTTAACTTGTCATAAAGGAGCGTTTCAAAGTATCCTGTTATTAAAGTGACATTTAAGAAGACATGCTCAAACTTTTTTTACGTATGACCTCAAGAAAAAATCTATTATCAGTATGATGTGATAACCAAATGATTACCGTCCTCAGTATTTGAAAACGACGCGCACAGTTGGGTATCAACTATCTATTGATACGCGAATGTAATTAACAGAAAGTACATTTCGTATTATTCAATCCACATATACAATGCACGGTGACATATGTCCTTAACCTTAGATGTGTCTGCCCAACATGTTGTCACTTTACAAATTTGATAATTGGATGTCGTGACTTGAACGCGCCGTTTGGGAAATGAGAGCAACGTTAAGGAGAAACGGTTCTTAATGGTTACTCTGTGACCTATGACAAGACGTTATCTTGAAAGATAACTCGGTTGCGTGGCGTTACACATACACTTGATTACCAATGCAGCCCTATAGTAATATTTTATCATCACTACCGAAATTTGCGTTAGATATATGGGGAAAAGCAACACTGTCAAACAGTCCTAAAACGACGCGAGTTACACTTCATGCCTACTGTTGTCCTATACAACGAAAGTAACATTTCAATGCTGTACAATACATTGCATTATACATGTAGAGTTTGTTACGCCATGTTGCCATAAGGCCTGTGAATTTGAGAGTACGGTTATTGTTTCATTTTTTGTCAAGCTGCATTTACCACTGGCGCCGGACGTAGAGGGCGAGTCGTTTTGTTCCGCCGAAATCGACAGGTGGTATTCAAAAGTGGCGCATTTGTATGACAGTATTATAAGGAAATTTGAAATCCGATAAGAAAAAATGTTGTTGCTTCTTATTCAGAGGGTATATTACATGTCATTATGTATGCTTGTATTGTTTTGGTGCTTTGTCCTATTATTGTTGAAATATTTTATGTATGGAGCAGCGTACCGCTCGTGGTAAAAACACATTTCAGGCTTTGGCGTATATCAAATTCAAAAGTAAACAAACCGGTTTTGATTTTTTTTTTAAATGTTCATACCTTATCCGTGTTATTATTAGTGTTAGCGCTTTAAAAGTAATAAAATGTAAAATGTGGAAAGGTGTGGTTCCCACTCACGATCACCATATCAAAGAATAAACAGGTGTTTTTAAATAAATGCAACACACACCTTGTTCATACTCATATTACAGATTTGTGATGGAATGGCATACTATTGTGCAATTTAAATATAAAGAACATATGCCTGTAAAATAGGAGCGCGAACGTGTCAGAGAACGTGAGGACCAATCAGAGTATACCTTACGTATTTACATATAGTATATAGACTAGTATGTTGATCCGTCGGTGCTCACTTTCTCTGTCATGCTCCTGGTGTTAGTATCGTACAAATTAAATATTTAACCATAAATGTCCCTGGATTAGTATGCATGTGTACAGAACATTTTGTACTTCCGCTCTTTGGCGAATAGGGGGCACGGGTGGCCCAGTCGTCTAAGGCGCCGCGATTCGCTGTGCAGAGTTGCGTCCCTTGGGCACGCCAGAAACCTATGATTGTGGGTTCGAATCCCGGTTCGCCCCGATTATGTTTCTAGGTTTGTCAGCCCACATTAAGCTGACACGCCGCGATATAACTGGAATATTGTTTAAAAGCGGCGTTAAACTCAACTCACTCACTCACTCACTTTGGCGAATAGCTCCGTGGTGAAGTGTCTTCCTAAGTTTCCTGAGTTCGATTCTGGATACTGTTTGCATATACCCAGAGAAGGAACTTACTCTATACGGCGTCACTGCAGACCAGGCTGTAGAATACATATAGGACTACTTTGTGGTCGGTTACTTTAAACGCCGTATTGTCGGATACACTTGGTACTTGCCTTTAAAAATGAGTCGTTGTTTCTGCAGGTGTTTTGTACGAGTGAAATGCAGTTTCTATGCAGGGTAGGGGATCAGAGTGAGGATGGGCTTGTGTAACAATGGCTATACACTCATTTCATCGTTCACTTAGACAGGTGCAGCCGTGCATACAAACTGGGAATAGCTAACATCATTTATCCCGCGCATTTATAGGAAGGGTCAGTCAACAGAAGTTTGTAGACCATGTTACATGTATTGTGAAACCCCGTTAGACCGGACACCTTCAGTCTGGAAACTCGTCCTTTTGGGCGATTACTTCTGTATAATATAGTTAAAGTGGTATTACTATCGGTGACTTCTGTATAATATAGTTAAAGTGGTATTACTATCGGTGACTTCTGTATAATATAGTTAAAGTGGTATTACTATCGGTGACTTCTGTGTAATATAGTTAAAGTGGTATTACTATCGGTGACTTCTGAATGATATAGTTAAAGTGGTATTACTATCGGTGACTTCTGTATAATATAGTTAAAGTGGTATTACTATCGGTGACGTCTGTATAATATAGTTAAAGTGGTATTACTATCGGTGACTTCTGTAAAATATAGTTAAAGTGGTATTACTATCGGTGACTTCTGTATAATATAGTTAAAGTGGTATTACTATCGGTGACTTCTGTAAAATATAGTTAAAGTGGTATTCCTATCGGTGACTTCTGTATAATATAGTTAAAGTGGTATTACTATCGGTGACTTCTGTGTAATATAGTTAAAGTGGTATTACTATCGGTGACTTCTGTATAATATAGTTAAAGTGGTATTACTATCGGTGACTTCTGTATAATATAGTTAAAGTGGTATTACTATCGGTGACTTCTGTATAATATAGTTAAAGTGGTATTACTACGTCCCCATGATCCTCTAATCCCGATACCTATTAATCCGGACGACTTCACGGAGTACGGTGCCGTTCGGATTGACGGGGTTTTCACTGTGTATGCCCATAGACATACAGTAAACTACGGTTATAACGAACACGCTTATAACGAACTGACGGATATAACGAACTAACTTTTTTGGTCCCGACTATTTGCTGTAGTTATGCTGTATATATGCTTATAGCGAACTAAAATTAGCAGTCCCTTTAAGTTCGTTATAACCGTAGTTTACTGTATTCGATTTTCCAGTTATGATATCTTCTTGTGATTATAAGGATGGGTGTAATATACTCTGGATAATAGAGGATAGTACATAGTTCATGTGTATGTAGACTATTTAATGCTGTTCTATATCAGCATGATAGACAAGATTAGTTGTACGTTTTCAGCACTTTTATTAATATCTGGTTATATTTACTTTAATTTACTATAAAAGTGGGATTGTTATAAGAAGAAGGGTTTTAACTTAATTATAATTATATACGTTTAATCGTTTCGTAAATATCATAGTTGAATTGGAAAACGTAATTTATCATGAGACGATCCCTGGTGGTGTTGTATTTTATTCTTTGAAAGAGAATGCACGTCGTAACTTTAATTCAGGTTATGTATTACACCGTTGCTAGGAAACACACAATGTATGTCATGGGCTCTTTCTTCGAGATAACTGCCCATTGCTCACATAATATTTAATCAAACTATCCCTGTTTGCGAGTGTCGTTTTGATATCCTTTTATTGACATAATCTTCTTTAAGCCGCGCGCATACGTTATCATATACATGTTTGTTGCCAGGGAAATCCTGAAAGTGCACAATGCCCAACGCCCACTGACGACTCGAATACCAAATAAATACATTATAGCAATCAATTTATTACAATCGATTGTGTTATATATCAAAGGCGCCGACATCACTGTGACATCATAATGATTCCCTCGTGTGTGTATAGTCTTGAGAAATCGTAAGTGGAGGGCGGGTAAGCGTAATCCAACATTCGGTGAATTTCCTGTGCTCGGGAATATTTGATTTCAATGAGACTTCCCCCTTGTGTGTGGCATGTGTGGCGACGCGCCCCGATAGACTTGCCGAAAACCCACTGATAACAACTGGAGACTCACATTGGCCGGCAATTGCAACTCCGTTAGTGTGTTCTCTTAAATGTTTCCTGAAAAGAGTTAGTAAATGACATCAATGTTGGCATGACTAAGGCGGAAACAGGATAGTTTTGGTGATGGGTAAATGGCATTGTCAATCCATGCCTTACTTATATTACACGCGGAAGTATAACCTGTGATTCAGCGTTTTTATTTAATAAAAAACGGGATATGGACCTAGCATAAACGCCCATAAATTTACAGCTCTAATGTTGATGACCTTTTAACGTGTCAACTTCTTTACTGGACTCCGTGCTATCATATGTATTGCAAGTTACCATTATGTATGCATACGGTCCCCGTTCTCTATATACTACTCAAAAGAAGTTAAAGAACACCGTGATTCTTTCATATTATTAAAATTGTAAATCTGTCATTGCATTCACTGATACAGAACACCCGACCCTTTGATATTACTACACATGTAGTTAATCTGTCATGGCATGACCGATTCACTCTTGTAATATAAAAGTATCGGGTGTTCTTTCACTTCTTTTGAATGGTATATATCATCATATTATTACTTCGCCATGCTGGTGTCTGTACAATCGTGATGATGCATGATGTTCGGTGAGTGAGTTTGCTGACGTTGACAGGTGTCACGTCCACTGAACTGGAGGCCTATAATCACTCCCGTTGAAGGAATGTAAACCACTCCGAGCATGTGACACAGTTGATCGATATGAGGTATGGTATATACAGGGAGAAATGGTAACACGTGCAGACACATACATGTGGTGCTGTATGATATCCGGTTATAACACATGCACGGCGTATCTATAACATGTATAATGCGTGGATACGATATGTAGAAACTAAAGACGGGGCAATAGGTTACCCTGTATCGTTGTATATGTAAACAGGTTGTTATCAATATGGCCTTGTTTCCCTATAACTGTTACTTAATTATACAAGCTAACACCCTGTACCT